GACTTCCATTACACAACAATTAAAAACATACTTCTAACATATACAAAAATTTTAGTACACGACAATTAAAAACATACTTTCAAGGTATACAATACTTCCATTACACAACAATTAAAAACATACTTCTAACATATACAAAAATTTTAGTACACAACAATTAAAAACATACTTTCAAGATATACAAGACTTCCATCACACAACAATTAAAAACATACTTCCAAGATATACAAGACTTCCATTACACAACAATTAAAAACATACTTCCAAGATATACAAGACTTCTAGTACACAACAATTAAAAACATACTTTCAAGATATACAAGACTTCCATTACACAACAATTAAAAACATACTTCCAAGATATACAAGACTTCCATTACACAACTATATCTTGGAAGTATGTTTTTAATTTAGTTGATATTGTAGTCTAGCAAGTGTATAAATTTACTGTTGGTGGTGATGTTCAAGAAAAATTGTTTCTTACTGACCAGTTTTTAACTTTACATTAAAATCAATATATTTTATAGTTACCTTTAAATATTTTAAATAATCAAGGAAATATGTTTTTAATTGTTGTGTAATGGAAGTCTTGTATATCTTGGAAGTATGTTTTTAATTGTCGTGTAATGGAAGTCTTGTATATCTTGGAAGTATGTTTTTAATTGTTGTGTAATGGAAGTCTTGTATATCTTGGAAGTATGTTTTTAATTGTCGTGTAATGGGAGTCTTGTATATCTTGGAAATATGTTTTTAATTGTCGTGTGATGGAAGTCTTGTATATCTTGGAAGTATGTTTTTAATTGTTGTGTAATGGTAGTCTTGTAATTGATAACACAGTTCATTATCTCTTGTTACTGAAGTGTTACTACAGTCTAATTGATAACACAGTTTATTATCCCTTGTTACTACAGTCTAATTGATAACACAGTTTATTATCCCTTGTTACTACAGTCTAATTGATAACACAGTTCATTATCTCTTGTTACTGAAGTGTTACTACAGTCATTATCCCTTGTTACTACAGTATAATTGATAACACAGTTCATTATCTCTTGTTACTGAAGTGTTACTACAGTCTAATTGATAACACAGTTCATTATCTGTTGTTACTACAGTCTAATTGATAACACAGTTCATTATCTGTTGTTACTACAGTCTAATTGATAACACAGTTTATTATCTGTTGTTACTACAGTCTAATTGATAACACAGTTCATTATCTGTTGTTACTACAGTCTAATTGATAACACAGTTCATTATCTGTTGTTACTACAGTCTAATTGATTACACAGTTCATTATCTCTTGTTACTGAAGTGTTACTACTGTCTAATTGATAACACAGTTCATTATCTGTTGTTACTACAGTCTCCCTTGTTACTACAGACTAATTGATAACACAGTTTATTATCCCTTGTTACTACAGACTAATTGATAACACAGTTCATTATCTGTTGTTACTACTGTCTAATTCATAACACAGTTCTAATGCACTGAGTTATCAATTAGACTGTAGTAACACTTCAGTAACAAGGGATAATAAACTATGTTATCAATTAGACTGTAGTAACAAGGGATAATCAACTGTGTTATCAATTGGACTGTAGTAACAACAGATAATGAACTGTGTTATCAATTAGACTGTAGTAACAACAGATAATAAACTGTGTTATCAATTAGTGTGTAGTAACAAGGGATAATAAACTGTGTTATCAATTAGACTGTAGTAACAAGGGATAATCAACTGTGTTATCAATTGGACTGTAGTAACAACAGATAATGAACTGTGTTATCAATTAGACTGTAGTAACAAGGAATAATAAACTGTGTTATCAATTATACTGTAGTAACAAGGGATAATGAACTATATTATCAATTAGACTGTAGTAACAACAGATAATGAACTGTGTTATTAATTAGACTGTAGTAACAAGGGATAATGAACTGTGTTATCAATTAGACTATAGTAACAAGGAATAATAAACTGTGTTATCAATTATACTGTAGTAACAAGGGATAATGAACTGTGTTATCAATTAGACTGTAGTAACAACAGATAATGAACTGTGTTATCAATTAGACAGTAGTAACAAGGGATAATGAACTGTGTTATCAATTAGACTATAGTAATAAGGAATAATAAACTGTGTTATCAATTAGATAGTAGTAACATGAGATAATGAACTGTGTTATCAATTAGATAGTAGTAACATGAGATAATGAACTGTGTTATCAATTAGACTGTAGTAACAAGGGATAATGAACTGTGTTATCAATTAGACTATAGTAACAAGGAATAATAAACTGTGTTATCAATTAGATAGTAGTAACATGAGATAATGAACTGTATTATTAATTAGACAGTAGTAACAAGGGATAATGAACTATATTTAATTACAAACTATGTTCACTATCACTTCCCCTACTATAATAACATAGTAAACCAAACACAACTGATCAGAGAAAACTGTGAGCACACCACCAGAAGAAAATACACAAGTTTAGTACATTAATTATTTCATGAGTTTAAGAAATAAGTCTCTAAAAATTTTAAATACTATTTCTTGATGCGTATTTTGAGTTTTAATAAGACTTTGAACTTTGACTAACAATACAACTCTTTTTAGTCTGTTATTGAGAACATCAAGGGTCTGTTTGTACAGATTTACGGTGCTTCTGTTATAAGATTTTTCTTGTAAATAGAGAAAAGCTATTAAAACTTTTTGATAGAGAAATTTAGTAAATGCAGCATTTATAACAAAACAAACAATAATCACAGTGAATTTGAGAATGATTGTAATTAATAAGAACAAATAAACTGTACAAGATGAGTGGATATAAAGAATAACAAGTAACTGAAAGATTCAATAATCATTCAATCTATGCTACACCATTTTCATTTTCTAAGTGGTAGGTGAATCTATCGAGTATAACTACAGCCACTGTTATTGATACAAGTTTGTTGTCCTTAATAAGGGTCTTTGTGTAACTTCTGAAGGAATATTAATTCATTAACATTGATTCCAGTTCCGAAAACACAGCATCTAATGCACTTTGTTCCTTTTGAAGAGAATCTGGGAAGAAAAATAAGAAATTAGTTGATTTCATAACAAAGAAAAACAACCAAGTAATACCAGCCACAACTCTTTCCTTACAGCTGGTTATCTAGTATAAAACATACAGAACAACCAAGTAATACCAGACACGACTCTTTCCTTACAGCTGGTTATCTAGTATAAAACATACAAGACAACCAAGTAGTACCAGTCACAACTCTTTCCTTACAGCTGGTTATCTAGTATAAAACATACAGGACAACCAAGTAGTACCAGACACAACTCTTTCCTTACAGCTAGTTATCTAGTATAAAACATACAGAACGACCAAGTAATACCAGACACAACTCTTTCCTTACAGCTGGTTATCCAGTATAAAACATACAGAACAACCAAGTAGTACCAGTCACAACTCTTTCCTTACAGCTGGTTATCTAGTATAAAACATACAGAACAACCAAGTAATACCAGACACAACTCTTTCCTTACAGCTGGTTATCTAGTATAAAACATACAGAACAACCAAGTAGTACCAGCCACAACTCTTTCCTTACGGCTGGTTATCTAGTATAAAACATACAAGACAACCAAGTAATACCAGACACAACTCTAGTAGAGAATATTTGAAATTATTCTTACTGTTGTCTTCCTGTGGATGAATGGCATTCCAGAGTTTCAGTTGGTCCCTACTGTCACTGACCTGTAAAAGATTAACATTATATAAGAAATAACAATGTTATCAGTGACTGGTAAAATATGAGTTATGAACACCTGGTCATATTGAAAGGTTCTAAATGTATTAATTAATTGAGTCATGAACACCTGGTCATATTGGAAGGTTCTAAATGTATTAATTAATTGAGTCATGAACACCTGGTCATTTTGGAAGGTTCTAAATGTATTATTTAAGTGAGTCATGAACACCTGGTCATATTGAAAGGTTCTAAATATACTAATTAAGTGACTTATGGACACCTGGTCATATTGAAAGGTTCTAAATGTATTAATTAAGTGAGTTATGAACACCTGGTCATATTGGAAGGTTCTAAATGTATTAATTAAGTGAGTTATGAACACCTGGTCATATTGAAAGGTTCTAAATATACTATTTAAGTGAGTTATGGACACCTAGTCATATTGAAAGGTTCTAAATGTATTAATTAAGTGAGTTATGAACACCTGGTCATATTGGAAGGTTCTAAATGTATTAATTAAGTGAGTTATGAACACCTGGTCATATTGAAAGGTTCTAAATATACTAATTAATTGAGTCATGAACACCTGGTCATATTGGAAGGTTCTAAATGTATTAATTAAGTGAGTTATGAACACCTGGTCATATTGAAAGGTTCTAAATATACTAATTAATTGAGTCATGAACACCTGGTCATATTGGAAGGTTCTAAATGTATTAATTAATTGAGTTATGAACACCTGGTCATATTGAAAGGTTCTAAATATACTAATTAATTGAGTCATGA